CATCGGTGATCAACCTATTTGCCCAAACAACCTGTGTTGGGCGCTTAGGATCTAATTGATTGTGCATCATTCATGTTATCAGTGTTATCTATCATCATGAATGTGGCTGAGGATCGATGTGTTTCTGTGTGGAGGCATGCCTGTTTTGTTTTCATTTCGGAGGTCCTGGAGGGTCTGGTTGCGGCGCTGGACCGCTGACCGTGGTGGGCACTGTTGGCACTCGCGCATGAGCTGCGAAATGCGCGCCTTTCTGGCAGAGTGCAGCTCGCGCTCGCCCCTCGGTCCTGTGGAGCAGCTTCAGAAGCTGCAACTTCTTTTGCACTGGGCCGGTCATCGCGCCTGCGTGCTTTTCCAGTGTCGCTAGCTTGAGCTCGGTATGTGGCTGCGGTCGTGCAGGCTTCATCAGATCATCAAGCGCCAAATGGTTCATGGGCCCCATGCATGCATTGGTTCAATGTTATCTGTGTTTTTTTGGCTCTATATATGTATATAATTATATATATATGTATGTTTAAATAAGGTGCTTTTTTAGCCCCTTGATTGTGATTATATATTTGTTAGATTGTAGTAGGTTTATACATGTTTATACATTTATAAGGTGAGAGCAGCCAAAATTGCTTTCTTACAGGTTCATGACAATCCTTCGAACTGTTTTGTTCCGTGGACCACTGGAACCCAACACGGGACCACCACCATGAGTCATGCTGCACACATCCTCCCAACACTTCTACGTAGTATGTTGTGTATGTGGCGTAGCGTAATATTGAGTAACGTAATATATTGCATTTAATATATGTATATTATTACATATATTCTGCAATGGGATTGAACAAAATAATGTAAAGCAATCATAATGTAAGGCAATACACTAAAACGTACTAAAGTGATATAATGTAATTAATGTAATGTATTGTGATGTAATGTTATGTTATGCAATGTAATTTAGCGGTTAGTGATTGAATGCAGTGCAATCAGTGTAATGTGTGTACTCTTTATGCATAAATATGTATGCGCATATGTCGGCAGATTTATGCATACATATAATTACAGTGTATACTTTTCACAACAACTGGTTGTATGGATATGTAATTTCAATGGATATGTTTACCCTGCTTGAAGCCAACTTTATTCCTCATTCAATCTACCTCCATGGAGCACGGAATTTCCATACCGCTTTCCGAACACAAAGAGCCTGATTGATATTGTGGTTTGTCCTAATCTAAAATGAAAAATCATCTAGGAACCAAGAATACACAATGGTACAATATATACAGTAGTATCAAGTACTAAAACATCTACAATATGGAGTCAAACTGTCTTAAAAGCACAAAAATAGGAATGGGTCAAAACCATGTAGCCCTGGTGAACATCAAAATAGGTGGCAAATGGATGTTCATCCCATAACAAAATGTATCTATAGGTATTGATCCATAGCCAAATAAACATTGGCACCGGCGTCGCGCCGTCAGCAATAAGCTGGTTGGCATCCGTTCAACCGTTCTCCGTCGGCAGCCTCTAGGCCGCGACGGCGTGAATTCTCCAACGATACCAGGGGCGTATCAAGTTGTGACCGTCGACATCTGCGGTGGTAGAAGTTCAACTTACTACAGTTATGGCCATTTATCAGTTATAAGTACTAACAAAACCCCATTTATAGAATGTATAATCCCATAGAAATAACCACTTATAACTGATAAATGGCCATAACTGTACATCCTACTACTGCAAAACGCGATTCGTAACAACACTGCGAACAAAAAAACTCGATAATTTTTGTATATCTATAATACATATTATATATATACATATATTTACATCATAACCTGCTTCTGGAAAAGGACATCAGGCTACACAATGCATACAGAAATTCCAAGGTCAGAGAACTTCCTACCTTCCTTGCTGTAAGTCACTGACAATTTTCAACGACTTATGGGTTTGCAACTCATGTCGCCTCCCTATCAGCTTCTCAGAGTCTGACTGGGTGGCCCGTATTCTCCATGCGTGGCACACATTGATCTACATTTGGTTCATTTGGGTCGTTAAATGTTGAAATGTATATACCATACATGGAGCATCAAGGTAAGAAAACACAAGTCTATACATGTTTCGGTTGGAAGACCATTTTGTTACCACCTCAAAGGTATGCAGATTCGATACGTCCCCGTGACCCTAACGGCATGCAGCTGGTCATTGGCATGCAGCTGGTGCCGCCTGCCTGTCGGTCTCTTGCCCAAGCATCACGTCACCCCAAAACTGAAAAGCAAATAAATTCCTTCCGGAGAATCAAGCAATGAACACAGAGATTTCCTGCTTTTCAACCATGGCAAGTATTCGATTTTGTAAAATATTGATAGTAATATTACCAAGCTGAACACACACATATGTATATATATAATATTATGTATATACACATACAAATACCACACCTTGTGCATATGCACATCTATATAACACGATCACAATCCCAGCCAGGGAAAAAGGGGCAGGAACAAATCCACCAAACGAAACAAAGGACATCACCATGAAAATATGAATGTATAGAGTAATAAAGGGTTTGTCTGAAAAGCCCAAAACTTATCTAAACTCCAGTTGTTGACGATCATTTAAGTTAGTATTGACGATCATTTAAGTTAGTATTGACCAGGTCATCATTTCAAAAAACACGCCTCATTTGTTGGACAAAACCAGAAGTTTTTCAAACACTCGTAAGACTGGAGATGAGCATGTATCCATTACCCTCTGGTAATTTAACATAGCTATTGAAAATGACTATTTATAGTGGATTTTCCCATTGAAAATGGTGACTTTCTATAGTTATGTTTGTTTTTCCAGAGGGTACTGTAAGGTGGATATTAGTTGTTCTTTCATCCCAGGTTCAGCATGGTGCCATGCTGCCATGGCTCGAATTCATGCTTTTTTTGCCTCGTGCCTTTCCCGCATGTTTACCTACCTCTAGGTTTATGTCACTGCCCAAAGATCCGAGTATGAAGTGTATAAAATTACTTTCAAACACATTCCCCCAATGACATTCAAATTTTAAACGTACCCAAACCATCCCAAAACAACGTCTACAAAGTATATATATATATACTGGTTGGTGGTTTTAACCATCTTGAAAAATATGAAAGTCAGTTGGGATTATTATTCCCAATATATTGAACAATGAAACCACCAACATCCACCAACCAGGTTTTATATACTCATGTCTTTTCTATGACCATTGGTCACTTGATCCTAATACTGCTGGGAAGTTTCAACGCACCCGAAGTTTTCAGGAGTTGCTTTCTTCACCATCAACCGGCACTTGATTCTCCGGTGACCACGGCTCTCTTTTTGAGAACCCAAAATTGTTTTCTGCCACCCGCGGCGGCGCTCTGTTGGGAACGGCGCAACGCCGCAACGCCTCGTCCTCGGCGCTCATGGAAGGTCTTCATCATGTTTCCCATCGTTTGATGGCCACATATGGGGCTTAAATGGGCTTAATCTTCCATTGCCAAACCGATATGGTCCACTACAAATAGCCTCACCTAGCCTTGATTTTCGCTCCTGAGATCCCATTCTTAAACTTCTCCAACATACCCTTCGGATCCCGGTCAGTCACATGGTCACATGGCTAAAAAACATCTCGTCTCGGAAATGATTACGTAAAAATAGAGCTTTTTTTCGCTGGAGAATCAGGAATTCGAACATGATTTATTTGGGACAAGCTGTTGGAGCAAACCAGCTGCCCCTTGAAGCCTTGGCCGCTTTAGTTTTGTGGCCTCTCTAAGACCTATGACTAGCGGGGGATCCCCCATCATATGGCGCCGTATTGTATATGGCTGTATAACGTAGACCGTAGACCCAAGGAAAAATAGACCATAAATTTCAGTGTGAGATATTAAATATATTGAGGGAATGATAGGGAATCCAGGTTCACAGTTATGGCCTTTCACAGTTACACTTATCAATGGAATTATATACAACATATTACAACTCCGATCAACTCCGGCAACCAAAGTCATAAATCATGATAAGCCCATTTATAATTCTATAGCTGATACTGCATGGTATACCCTCTGGTAAACTAACATAGCTATTGTGAAAATAGCTATTTATAGTGGGTTTACCCATTAAAAATGGTGGATCTTTGATCTTTCCATAGTTGTTTGTATGTTTACCAGAGGGAACATACAATGTTGGGACAACCAATTTTCATGTTGGGTCAGGGTGTGTCATCTCCAAGACGCTCAGAGTGCTAGGCTGTCACATTGGCCAGCAAGTTCAAGTAGTGATCCTTGGACATGTGGCGTTTCAAAAATGTAAAATGGAGACATCCCCAAGTCAAAATGAGTTTCTATACTAAAATGGTCATCCATGGCTTGGATGATTTGGGGTATATTTTAGGAGAACCATGATGACTTCCGGGGATTCACCATAACATGAATCATGTTTTTTGCAAGTTGATATGGTTAAACAAAAAAACGAAGAAAGACACCACAAAATGATGAATTTGACCCATATCCAAAACTTCAGCAAGTTGGAGTTGGACCATTTTTTTCGGGGGAACACAAATCAAATCAACACCTAAGCGTTCGTTTGAAAATAGGCTAAGCCCTCCTCATCGGCTCCGTGGTACCATCCCTCAGAGATCAAGGTCCCAGGTGGTGCCCCCCAAAAGTGGTGTTTGTTGGCTCAGGTTCACCTATCTAACTCTTCTTTCATCATCCATAGATACATATAAATACCATAAATAAACCCTAACACTTAGTCGAACTATGTTAACAACCTTATGCAGGTGTAGTTTGAAATGCGATAGCTCTAAAACTGAATTGTTAAGCCATGTTAAGCTCCTAAAAATGAACAGAATCTGCGGTCCCTGTGTTTTTTGTTTAACTTTTGACCCATTCCCATATAGCTAACAAATTGGGAAAGCACCTCGGAAAACCAAGTAGGCATAGACATGGAACCACTTAGATTTGTGGCTGCTTTCGATGGGTTCATACACAACCGATTCACGATTAAATTCCATGAAATTCCATTAAATCACCATTGGCTGGAAAGTTCGTAACTTGGCCGTTGGTAACCTTGGCACCACTTCGAAACACCGTCGAACTCCAATTCATCCAGTGCTCTGTGCGGTGCTCGTCCACGTTCTCCGCCAGGCTTCCCATGTCACGCTCTTCAATCTGCGGCCATGGTGTCAACGGCTGCGGGGGGGCCGCAGCATCCGGGGTTCGGTGCTTCGTAAACCATAAGAAGAGACATTTGTCCATACTGGGTTGGAAGTTAAGGGAGCAAAACATGCCTGGAGGTGCAGTTGAGGTGAACAAAGATGGGTGTAAATTTGGTGATAAGCCGCATAAGTTGGAATATAACCCCAAAAAGTGGCGTCAAATGTATCCACTTAAAGCTCGAACTGCATATAAGTGGTAATCTCATCCCCCGAATATTAAATACCTGTAAAGCCCCAGTTGGCTATTCTCTCATGCTACTTTGACCTACTCGCCCATTTTTGTATCACTTTCCATTTCGCACAAATTAAACAGGCATCTCATCGTTTGGTGCAACATGTTCAGCAAAAATGCCAAAAATGCGCATAAAAGTGCAGTAAATGCCTGTAGGAATCCAAATCCTAAAACGGATTTAACTTTCCAGTGACTAAAGTTCCGGGCACTTTGGATAGTGCCCAAAAAATAATACGCACAAGGTTCTCGAAGTACCTTGCTTAAAAGAAAGCCAGACAATGAATATTTCCAATAATAAACATGTTAGGGCGGGATTGATAACGACAATTCAAATAGATTTTCACCAAAAGGATGAGGATTTTCATGAATCGGGTAGTATCCTGCACTAAACAAAAACATGGTTTCCCGTACACCTGCCATCTACGACATCGGCGCCGCTGCCATGCACATCCCCCAAGATTCACAAAGAACATCGGAAAGCATGGTGCATGGGGATGAATCCACATCGTTGGCACCGGAGGTCTTGAAGATCTGGTTGGTGGTGCAATAGCCATCTTAAAAAATAAAGTCAGTGGGGTTGGGATTACTGTATCCCATATACTATGGAACATAAAAAATGTTTGAAACATTTTGAAACCACCAACCAGATAAATCAATGGGGTTGGGATTATTCCATATATGAAATGGAAGTCATAAAAGCCATGTTTGAAACATTTTGAAACCAGCAACCAGGGTAGGATGAGTTGAACACCAAGCTCAACAAGAACCGGAAGAGTTTACTCCGTGGTGTCAGAGGTGGTTGACATCCTGATGTCAACAACTTCCCAGTTCTCCCGGCCTCAGGGCCGATGAGCAAGTCACCTGCGCCCAACTGGAGATTTCATGGGGAGATTTGGTGGTTTAATGGGACTTCACTGGGAACTTCAATGGGATTTCACGGGGAAATTCTGATGTGATTTCATCGTAATCCCATCCCCGGTTCATATTCAACATCCCCAAGAAACCGTGGTGGATGTAGTGAGACCACATATGACTGGGACATACTGGAACCACAGTTATGGCCATTTACCAGTTATAAGTGGCTATTTCTATGGGATTATACATTCTATAAATGGGGTTATAAGTACTTATAACTGATAAATGGCCAAAACTGCATAGAATGAAGCTGTTTTTCATGTGAATGGGTAATGGGGAATTGGATTACCCTGTACATGGAACCCTGAGTTCTGCATGGTTCTGGACCTGGGCCAAGCAGTTGTGTAATATACGTAAGCAAATCTGTCAGATTATATCCTGACCCGGTAATTTTCCCAGCAATATTGGGGTATGTTGCCGCCTTGCTTGCAAGAACGTGTTTTCCCTCGTATCTACATATTCAATCACTAATGTTGACCCAGGAGTCATTGACAATCCATTGGGGTTCCCAGCATTCATCAGCAAGGTGGATGCGGCCGTAACATTACAGTGTCCAACTTACCATTCTTAATGAGACTATATTTACACATGGAGACACCAGGAGGAAACCGACGTCGGGGATGCTCTCCGTCCCCTGTCGTTAAAACTACACGTTATCATATGTACATGTTGTCATCACATGTGTATATATATATATACATAATTACCAACTAAAAGTTGATGTAGTTGAAACACATATAGGTTTGTCACAAAACACAACAACACCAAATCCAGCGGAACACCATCATATCTGGATAACTTAGGACATCCCAAAGCAGACTTGAGGCCTTCTATTTTCTGTTTTACCAACAGGGCATCCCCCGAGCATGTTGCAGACTTGAAACCATTTTGGGGATGTTCCCCCAAACCCTATCACCATCATCTTCGCTGAGTTCGCTGCAAATGATCTATGGACTCCCGTTACATCGTTACATTTTAGCTTACACCTTGTTGTGCCCCCAACAGACCACATTCCATTCTCTTCCCATGAACCATCTGCCCTCCGGGAATCAAACAAAGCAATGGAACATCGTCCACAGTGGAGTTTCCCAGCCCTTAACCCTCATTATTTGCAGATGATTTTCCAGCCAACCATGGTCGATTACCAACCATCATTGCTTTTCATGGTTGCAAAACCCACAACACTGGTAAAGCTGGGGATGGTTTGCCAACATCGCCAATCCATTGAACATGTTTGTGCCTGAAAGAAAAAAGTCCAGCCCCTTCTTTTCCCATAAACCAGCTATTTTCAAAAAAAAAACAATATCCATTGAACATTTCCAAGTGTCTTGTCAAAAAAAGTAGTTTTCATGGCCCAAACACTTTACTGGTTGGTGGTATACCTACCCCTTCGTCAGTTGGGATGATGCTTCCCAATACATGGAAAGTCATCAAAGTCATGTTCCAAACCACCAACCAGTTAACCATGAAATGGGATTAAACATTGGATTTAATGGGATTTCATGAGAGGTTAACCATTGATGATCTCAAATGGGATTGAATAAATTAACCATCTGTCTTCTTTATCCCATTGGATAACCCCATCAAATCCCATGATCCATCATTATCCCATTAGTCACATATCCCGCTGTTAGTCCATTTGAAACCACCAACCAGTTAAGTCATTGGTTAATTTATAGTTGATTTACCTATTAAAAATTGTGATTTTCCGTAGTTTTCTATTAAAATGTACCATAAACTTTATAAAGTTTATCCAAAACACCAATCCAATGGTATGGTCCATCCACCGTTTCGCTCAACGCCGCGAAACGCCGAAACAGCGAAACACGCGCACCTTCCGAGGTCAAGAGACAGAGCTTCGCGGCATGGCGGTAGCCTGGACGCTGATTTCACCGAAACAAAGTGGTTGTTTTTTTTTACCAGGGAAAATGGTTTTTTTAACTAGGGAAAATGGTGCAGTTATGGCCATTTATCAGTTATAGGAACTTATAACCCCATTTATAGAATGTATAATCCCATTTATAACTAGTTATAACTTAGTTTATGGCCATAACTGTGGAAAATGGTGTAAAATGACTTGGAAACACCGGTGATTTCATGGGATTCGATGGGATATCACTTGGTGATGGAAAATGATGATGTAAAACCTGGAAGTGCAGACCAGAAGTGAAAATCATGGATATAACCCATGGGAATTCAAACCTCCACAAGTTGGGATATGGGGCCCCATAATTAACTACGGTTTATATTAATGGAACTGTGCTTCCAAGTGGGCCCTAAATCTTGCAGGAAATCCACGGTCCTAAGGTTAGGAACGGAAACAACATGAAACGGTGATCGAAACATAATTGAAGGAAACCTTTGTAGGATAGTCCCGGATTCATTTTTATGTTTAGGATTTTTCAGGGTATCCTTCAAAGGAAAAAGGTTTATCCCTAAACAATCTATCCGGATTAATTGAAAACTTTGTATTCATAATCAAAGGAAAACTTTGTAGGATATCCCCGGATAGATGTTCCTTTCAACTATATAATTCATACAAAGAACAGATATCTCAGACAATGTCAGGGTGGGATGGATAAAGGATGGTAAAGGACAGAGCATCAAGGACTTGTCTTGGTGTATTGACGTGGCAAAACCAATAATCACATAATAGAAACCATCAACGAAACTTAACACAAAGTGGGGGCCCGACAAGATAGCAAGCGTGGTTTCAAAACAACAATAAGTATGGTGTGTGTGGTAGCTCCCTATATTTATATCTATTATATATATTTATATATATTATATTGATTTAATGGGCTATGCAAACCAACAAAGCATAACTTGGAGGCCCCGCATTGTATATGTTCTGTGATGGGATGCACAAAAAAAAGAGTCTAGAGGTTTGAAACTTGCCTGAACAAGGGAAGGAGTACAGTATAAACAAAAAAAATGGTTCATACAACGCCACTCCTGAACTGTTGAGTGAGACAATAGTTCCAAATAGAACTGAACTATCCTATCAACATGGAAGGGACAGTCTGATATGGGCGGTACCCATCCCATGTAAAATACTACAAACACAATAACCCATAGGATCCATGTATGCTATATATGGCAACATTTACCATCAATATACCCCCAATGTGAGCATATATACCATACATGGATCCTATGGGTAATAATATGTGCCATCCACTTCCAGCTGTTGCAATTCTTGTTTCTCCAGGGGTTCTTCCATCTCTTGTTTCCGACATCACGGGGTGATTTTAGATTTTTAGATGTGGATCCAGCGTTAAAGAATCACATGTGAACATACAAGAACTGCCAAGCAATCAAAGTATTGGTCGATATCATGCATAATTTAACCATGACCATGTGTATAAATATATATATATATATACATATATATATAGGAATTGACATCCACACACGTCAGCTATATAGTTTGATGTATACTAGGGTACCGGTTTGATCCACACACGTACGGGTCAAGAATCAATATATAGATACATTGATTTATGGATATACATGGGTATTCTCCTTGTTTGGACAAGTTCAGTCAATTCATGTATACCCCCTACCAGTTTTGAGTTCGTTAGACACAAACTAAACAAATCCAAGTTAGACAGCGTTGTAAATAGCCAACAAATACCGATCCTGGGGGCCTCACATTGCCATTGATTTATCAAAATTACAACACAGGGCTGGTTAAAAAAAAATGTTACAAAGTGGGGCCCCCTAGATAGCTAAGTTGGTTTGTAACTCCAATAAGTATAGTTCATGGTACTTATAACCATAGTTACTGGGGTTTATAAACCAACTTATAACTGGGGGGGGGCACATTGTAAATATTGTTAAATAATCATATCATACCCGGTGATCGTCAATACCTATCCACCGAAAGGGAAGAAATGAATGGTGTCAAAATTACCTACGTGTAGATATGGGGGCTTCCTAGAATGGGGTTACCCCCAAATCATCCCTTTTTCATAGGATGTTCCATGAAATAAACCATCCAGCTATCGGGGTACTTCCATTTGAGGAAACCTCCATATATCCAGAAAAAAAAATCCTCCAACTTGCCTAGTTAACCTGCGGCCGGAAAGGTGAGGCTCGCATAAATGAGCTGTAAATCCCACTATTCATCACCATTTACGAGTACTTGTTGGTTAAATCACGACTTTCCTAGGGTTTCTATGGTTTTAACTCGTGTTATTTCGCCCATCATAAAGCATAGTGTCATAGTGCCATAGTGCCATAGGAGTTAGTTATTTGCACATCATAAAGCATAGTTATTGGATGTTATATGTTCACCAACTTAGCTATGGCTCATTGCACAAACCAAGCAGCTAGTATATCATAAACCAACTAGTTATTGTACTGACAATCACAATAACCAATCAGTTACTTTTTATGACTTATAAATATATTAGTTATTAATTAGCTATTTTATAATATTTTATACTTATTCAATAAGACTATTCAGCCATAGTTATGTTAATATATTGGTTATTTTATTGGACTTATAAACCAACCTACCATAACCTACCCCTAGCTGAGGCCCCACCTCCATGGCTTTTTTGGGGAACCGTGGGCACCGCATCGCAGTCATTCACCAAGCGCACGGCGCAGCACTTTCCAGTGCCTTTTGAAAAGAGGAGTGACAATTCTATGGGATTTGATCTGATTCCACGGAATTTCATAGGATTTTATGAGGTTTTCCGGGGATTTCAATGGGAGTTGCATGAAATTTGCAGGGGATTTCATGCAATCTAATCAGACTTATATAATGGGATTTGATGATCTTTCGTGGGATGAATGGCATGCACATTATTATTAACTCGATAAAGAATTAATACATGGTGGTTTTACCATCAAAAACTAAACTAATTAATGAAACTGATTTCTGTAGCTGTTGATAAATGGATAACTGGAAACAGTGATTTAGTGAATTTTAATTGGGCGGGTTTTATCAACAAGACTGGGGATATACTACGACAAAACACTGGGTTAGAAAGTTATAATCATCAGGAATGGTCGATTTGCCATTCAAAAATAAGATTCAACTGAAGAATCAGGCTAATACTGGAGGTTTCCCGCCGATGGATTAGTGATGATTGTATGACGAGATGAAACCCATGATGCATGTCTAGATACAGGAACAAGGTATACGATACATTAATTTGAATTCTTATGTTTAATATACCTATATACGGTGAATTTGTGCAACAATGACATGTGCAAACTTTGAGCTCGTAATTACATGTAAAAAAAAACAGATACATCATCCTTTTGGTAGAGTTCAACAGTTTGGAGCCTCCAAGTTGCTGGAAATCATTGTAACTAATACGGCTATTAAAGCATCTCCAATTCAAATGTAAGGCAAAAAATCGATCATTCTATGTTTCAGTGACAGCTGTTGCAAACCTTGCGTATTTCTCAATAAGAATAGATGGCTTAGCTTATATAGCATTCACGAGGGTACTTCGCCCATAAGCAACATACATTATATAGTTAGTTACATATATATATATTTAATTATATGTATGTACACACCATGATACAACCATATTTGTATCTTGTGCAGTATATCTATCTTGGCAAGTATTTCAGCACCATCAAGCACTAAGTTGCCGATATCCATGCATTTCCACCGAGCGTCGTTTCAGAGAAGCCAGTTGCTTGTCCAACGTCGTTGCAAAGACCTCATCGCCAAAGCGTGGTTGCCCGGTGCTCACGAAGAGGATGCGATGCCTCGCAGGAGACCGAAAAGGAAGAGACTGGCGACAGAACAAGAGCTGGATCCATTGGTCAAACATGTTGCTGGAGACCTCAACTAACTTAATTGGATGGTCAATTATTCTGATATAGATTACCCTCTGGTAAACTTTCACATAGCGAACTGGAGAATCACAATGGCCATGTTCAATAGCTATGTTAGTTTACTAGAGGGTACTTTGATCTTAGATCCATGTTTGATAGTGGGATATAGTGGTTATGGCTCAAAAACGGCAATGGATCCTTCCTTGGTGTATGGATCATGGGTTTGCTTCCAGTGCCTGAGAAAATTTGGCAGGTCGCACATGGGGTGTATTTGGTAATAAATTTCTCTATGCCATGTACTCAATACATTGAATTTTCGGACAGAAAAAAAGACAGTTGTTAAGTGTATTTCCATGTTTTTGCCAGAGACATGCGCATCTTTGTTCGCGACAATCAGGCCGGCGGTTTCAACAGCCCTGAATCATATTTTTGGAGCCAAGTGGGAACCACAATCCCAGGCAGGGACAAGCAATAAACAAGTAACACTATGTGTAAGTACATGTGTAAATATATATATATAATATATATATATATCATATTATATATCATTGGAAACTGAAAACGTCAATGCTTATATGTCCTTAGCACGGCCAAAACGCAGAAGGCAAAACGCGTGTTCCGGAACGCGCGTTCCGAACGCAGGAGGGGTTTTTAGTGGTTTTGAGCTCCAGAAGCCTCCCAATCCTTTTTTGGCTCCTTGCAAAATGGATCCGCTGTGTCACATAGAGTTTTACAATTTTGTTTCTTCTTGGACCTCACTACGATAAAATTTGTGAGAGGTAAGAACCTTTTTTGCTTCAGCCAAAAAAAGGATCCGGAGTTGGGAAGATCAACTTTCTGGTGGCTTCATCCACCTGTTTGAGCCCATAAGAGCTCTTGAAATCCTTTTTTCTTTGGAGGGAAAAAGGTTTCAGTGTCCAGGCCCATGAAATATATTAAGTTTGGATTATTGGAAAAAGGATCCACTCAGAACGCGCATTCCGGAACGCGAGTTTTTAAAACGCGCGTTCCGAACGCCAAACCGTACCGAAGGAACATGCTAAGTATATATGTCTATTCATGATCACGCTTCAATCGGATTAGTAATTTCATCCGCACAATCTCCAACTGTGTCATCAGAACGAAGGGCACGGCAATCGCCATTGACATCACCAAGCAAGATGATGCAACCGGCAAACCGGTCAAATCCCCCAGCTGCCAATGACTGGGTCAGCACCTTCAAACAAGTGGTTGAGGCGATAAGTGAAGTCGTCGCCACTGTCATGGTCGGAGTCCAAGCTTCGGTAGCTTCGTGAAGCAAGATGAAGCTATTGCATTCAAATTGCGGACCCAGTCATCAAAGGACATTCCCACAAGCAATTTCTGACCATACCAGTCCTCTGATCCATCAGCCATCACCAAGACAAAGCTAGAAAGTACTTCCTTTGTCTTCAAAGCAATTTTCACAAAATGTTGTCAACACCCCATCCTCTTTTGATAGAAATTTCGAATGTTTTAGATGAGCCTTCAAACTGAATTCAATGATGTACCCTAATGCCACTCCGAGTCATCAGTCAATCAACTTTAGCATCCCGGACCGGACCGGGACCCCCCAACGGTGACGATGCGAAGTCGTACGTTTGCAGCAAATAACCTCCACATGGCAAATGGAGCAGCTTCTGAAAAATGTGAAGATGTTTGTTGGACAAGGCCAAAAAGCGCTGGCACCATAATTGGAAGTCTGTAATCAGATTGAATAATTTTGAATCAATGCCGATACTTAATCATATGTCCACAATGGCCACTTCATGTGGATGATTTGAAGGCATATTTAAGCAAGGCGTCCATCATTGCCCTTCAAACATATATTGAGATAGTTTGAGCATATAATCCCCAGGAGACTATACTATTATATCTGGAATTCAAGGACCCTGAACTCCGAAACTACTCTGTGCCTGCTTCAGCAAACTTCCCATTCTCATGTACCATGTGATCCTAGATCCCGGTACTTCAACTGCAAGTATTTTCATGGAAATAAGTAAAATACCCGTCCCCCGTGGAGGTGTTTCTTCACATCAATCTTCAGCTTCAAATCCATGAACGAGTCGGCCTAAGGCTCCCATAGCAATGGCCCCACCAATGCTGTGGCCAACCTCGGAAAAATCTCTACCTTGATGTGCTTCCAGGGCATCGTAGGTGGAGTTCTGCAAATATTATATATATATAATTTATGTAATATTAATTAATACATATTATAATTTATGTAATATAATATATGGAGAAAAGTAGAGTAGAGAGTTGAGCAGAGAATATAACACCATTGGTACAAGCCGTTACGCAAACAAATGCTAAGCCCAATATTGCTTAGTAAGTTGTGGATAACTCATCCATCCAAGTTGTCACCCATCCAGGAAACTGAAAGATGCTAAAAAGGCTAGACCTGATTCTGGATGCATGTTCAACCAAAAGACCGCTTCAAAGCTGTCAGCTTCTATTCACTTTACATTTTTCCCTAAAGATTTTCTTAAGATTTGAGATGTCTGACGGCGCCTTCGACGCCTCTGGCTGAGCTGCCAACAATCATCAGCCGCTTTGGGCGTGACAAATCCCTCAACCTCACCGACGCTCTGTGCCATGGCAAATTGGTGATTTTTCAACTGGTCTCCCCAGACATCATCGGGTATACAGTATATGGTATATGTACAAAGTGGGGCCCCCAAACGATAGCTAAGTTGGTGAACGTAACTCCAATAACTATATATAACTATAGTTTATGGATAACCATAGTTACTGGGGTTTATAAACCAACTTATAACTGGGGGGCCCACATTGTATGTATATGTTTGGTTATTAAACAACCAGCTTTGAACCAATCAACTAAGTCCATCGTCACTTTACGTGGATCGAATGATGAGATGCAATAGCTTATGATCCGGCAACAATTCAAATGTTGCTAAGCCCAGAATTCATCCCAGACTGGGATGTTTCATGTTCTTTGGTACTTGTAAATCCCTATTGAAATTTAAATCTAACCGTGGTGACCTGTTTTACTCCCAACGTTTTTGGATGCTTCGAGAAGGCCGCTCTAAGCATTGAGTTCCCAGCTGGGGCATAAGCTTTTGGTTGATGTCGCACACTGAGGCCTAACAGGCAGGTGGTGTTTTTGTCTTTGGGTGGGTCAAAAGGTCAAGACTGACTGCACTAGAATTTCTGGGTTGAATATTTATCTATCTAAATATGTATATATATATATGTATATATACGTATGTGGCTGCGTTTGAAAATGGAATATACCCCTGAATAATGATAACTAAATTACTTAAGGGCACCATATTTTCAAACTAATCATCTGTATTATGCAAACAACATTGCATAATCTTGCATATTATCCTGATCATGCGGATTGAGCCCGCAACGCTTGTCTTGCCCTGTTCATTCATGTCAAACTCATTAGAAAATAAAGAACATTCAACATCTGAAGTCGAACATCATCAACATCTACAACATCCCCTGACTTCTGCAACAAGCCGAAACAGCGAGTCGGATTCGCACCAGAAAGGCATCGTAGAATCCTTGATGTGCTTGGGCTTGCGGATGGCGACCTGGCAAAAAACCCATGGCCATCCTGGAATCCTGGCAGTCTCGGGACCTTTCCCCCGCCTGGCAGGCAGCTGGTCATGTGCTTTTCGGAGCCAAGATGTGGTTGGAACGGGATCGGGCTCGCAACCAGGTCCTGCAGACGTCGCCCCACATTTTCAGGGGAATACCACACCATTTTCTGGGTTATGTATATGCTGTATATGTGGATATAACATATATACTATGATCAGATTACACTAGTAATCATTAGTACATGTTTTGTTTTTGTTTTGGTAATTATATACACGGATATAATTAATTAAGGTGTAATGGTAGTTTAGTACCAAAAACGCGGGAACACCTGCAAGATTTCCAGCTATTTTTGGCCAGCAATCATGTTTCCTAACCAACAAGCAATGGGCCCTTTTGGATATTTTAATTTTGGGACATATACCCGCAAGACCCCTCAAACCCGACTATCGAACAATTCGTGTCCCGGCTATACCAGTGTATTGACCTGCATCATCTATCCCTTAGACTGGCAGCATTAGACAAGATAGATCCCTCACATATATTGCTGTTTCTCAAAATTGAGGCGCAAAAAACCACGGCTTCTCCTTTTCAGCATTACATTCTGAATACCATGGATTTTGAGGTCCCGTTAAGAAACACCCATGTGGTTCACGATTTTCATATCGGGATGCGTTTTTTTCTACATCGAAGTGACTGGCTTCCGCCGGAACCGCCGGTCCGTGAGCCACTCCACAATTCCAGTAGTTCCTCTGTAAGAGATGACAATGTCCTTGCGCTGCAAAGTGCCATATGGGTTGGTCGGTGTCATAGGGTGTCCCTTATTTTTTTCAAATCCAATGGTTGATCAGCATGTTTCCCAATTAAACAGGGCCATTTGAGAATATACCACATTGTCAGACACACCCATATTAACAAATACGGGCAACTGACCTAAATCATCCTCTACCTACAAGTTATAGTCCCGATATGCATGGCAACACTGCTATATGTTGCAAGATCAAATGCCTTCCTTGGTGTCTTGATGTCATGCTGTTGATTCACACTGCCTATTCAAAGTCAGCTGCCAGAAAATGCCACCAGTACTACCAGTTATAAAGTTAAACAAAACACATATCGACCTCGTTACTTGATTAAGCCTCTTCCAGTCCGTAATTATTTCCAGTCGCATTCTGAAAGTCCGCACTCTATTTAGACCATGCGAGCACTCGGGTTAGCACCTCCGCGTTTTGTGATGAAGCCAGGAAACCGTGATGTGGATGTGACTGAAAATGATGTCTTTGAAACCTGGTTGGTGGTTGACCTACCCGGCCCTCTGAAAAATATGAAAGTCAGTTGGGATAATGAAATTCCCAGTATATGGAAAAAGAAAAAATGTTCCAAACCACCAACCAGTAAAGGGTTTCTTTAAATGGTGGTGGTACCCCAAAAAATTAGGACAGATACCTCCAAACACACATACGTACGAGAACATGGCCAGCAATCTGAATTTGTGGCATGTCCTGGTCGTTGTGGGCAATAAACCCATGGGTATCTACCTCAGCGCCACAGAGTCTGGCACGATTTGATGCCATCATTTTGAGGGTCTGGCAGTCTTAATCTGGCCTTATAACATTTTGGCATTTCAGGAGGGCCCTCCTCTAGCCGACTGACAACTCTGCAGGTCGCTTGGAACTGGTTGAAACTCGAGGATTCTTTATCCTATCAGATCCCAACATAAAAGCTGACATTCTCTGAAAATA